CCACTGACTCCTCCTTGACTGTCTCTTTCTCATGCTTCAGGTCTCAGCCCAAATGTCACCTCTTCTTTCTCAAAATCCCTGGCTAACGTTGCCCCTTTCAGGACCAATACTTCGCTCTTTTTGGACTTCTGACAAACGAGAATTCATAAAAATGACCTGGGCAGTTCATATTGTTTTCAAAGGTCCGAGTTTGTTTAAATAACATTGCACTTTCCTGTCCTTTGAAGTTTGATAAAACAGCCATACAACCATCTGGGCCTATTGTCTTTTTATGGTAGGTCTCACTCACTTTTCCAGTCTTCCATGGCCATTACTCTACTTATACTTTTTACTTCTAAGATCTGTTTATCACAGTGGTTGAAACATTGTTGATCTTAATAAATGCTAAGTATGAGGGTGCAAAGAAAGCAGTGGGGAAGGGCTGGTCTCTTGGCTTCAAATGTCCACCCCACTGCCCATCTGCTCAGGCTGCCCCCATCCAGTTTCTCCATTGAGGCCCGATTACATGCTTCCTCCTCTGAGGTGCCCTCTTGGATTTCTCCTGAACCTTCTTCCTTGCTCCATTTCCTGTCGACGGGTCCACCTCTCTACCTCTCTGCTAGGCAGATGCCATAAGCTCTCTGCTTTCTGGCTGGACACTGGTGTGGGGGATGCACAGAAGAGGCTTCCCCAAACCTCAGCCTCTGCCCTCGTGCCTGGCACATTCGGCAGCCACTGCCACCTCCCCCCAGCAGTTCCGATCACGCCAACATCTGGAGAACTTGTCGCTGGTCTGTCTGCAGCTCGGGGTGGGGATTTGCATGTGAGTACAAATATATATGCACACCCTGGGTCTTCCACCCCCACATTCCTTGGCTGGCCCTTCACACCTGGGTCTGAGACAGGTCCACTCAGTGGCTGGATTTGCATGCGCGTGTATTTCTGGGTAGGGAGTCAGCTGGGGGAGTCTGAGAGGAAGTTGTTGAGGGAAGCTGGGGGTAGTTCAGACGTGTCTCTTTTTTTAAAAAATCCTCACCCGAGGATACTTTTTCCATTGCTTTTCAGAGAGAGTGGAAGGGGGAGAGAGAGAGAGAGAGAGAGAGAGAGAGAGAGATAGATAGATAGATAGAAACATCAATGTGAAAGAGACACATGGGTTGGTTGCCTCCCACACACACACCACACTGGGGTCAGGGATTGAGCCTGCAACCGAGGTACGTGCCCTTGACCAGAATCAAACACAAAACCCTTCAGTGTGCGTGGGCTGATGATCTAACCACTGAGCAAAACCGGCTAGGGCCTGACCTGTCTCTTTGGACCTGCTCCATTCACCAAATCTATCCAGCGACCCCTAAATCTGATCCTGAGGGACTTCTAGTCTGGATCCCAGCCCCACGGATATGCACATCCCCAGCCCCATGGGGTCAGAACTGAAGGGAAGGATGGGAGCTGTAGCAGTCCAGAATGAGGGCAGGGAGGGCTTCCTGGAGGGGTGTATTTTTTTAAAACTATTTTTAAAACTATTTTTTTATTGATTTCAGAGAGAGAGAAAGGGAGAGGGAGAGAAAAGCCTTGCTCGGCTGCCTCCTGCACGCCCCCTACTGGGGATCAAGCGCAAAACCCAGGCATGTGCCCTGACTAGGAATCGAACTCGTGACCTTTTGGTGCATGGGACAACACTCAACCAACTGAGCCACACAGGCCAGGGTGAGGGATGGATTTTTTGAGCTGGGCTTTGAAGTGTGAATAGGAGTTGGCCAGGTGAGGAAGGGGCTAAAGGGCTTTCCAGGCAGAGGCATTTTGTTGAAGGTAGACAAAGATGGGCAGGGATTGCCTGGGGCAGGGCCTTGAATGCCAGGCTGGGAACTGAAACTTTCTCTTGATGGCAGTTGGAGCCATGAAGAGTGTGTGAGCAGGGAGGGTCATGATCAAAGCTTTGTGCTGGGTTGATCCCACTAGGGCCAAAGCTGAGGATGACTTTAGTTCCTGTGTGAGGACTGGGAGTTCCAGGGTCATTGAGGGTCAGAAGAGTCAAACTCCTGTGTGAGCCCATCTGTGCCTCTCAGACATGGCCACAGAGATGGCAGAGGATCTGGTACCTTCTGAAGGACCCAAAGAGCCCTGGAGTACAGTGACTTCACCTCCAGTCTCTGCCCAGATGGATGCAGCCCTGGCCACCCCTCCAGTATCCTGCCACCTTTATCCTGTCCCGTCCCCACCATGGCAGCCGTGGAAAGGTTTTTCAATGATAAATCAAACTCCATCTCTTCTTAGTCAAACCCTACCATGGCTCTCCATCGCTTTTTGACCCAAACTCAGGACCTTCCCCACAGTTCAGAGGACCCAGAGTGGCCCTGCTTCTGCGGCTTCTCCCTCAAGCTCCTCACTCCGGCCTTGTTACTGTGTCTCGTCCCTCCTCAGGGCCTTTGCACCTGCTCTTCCTTCTGTCTGGAACTCACTTCCTGTCTCAGCTCTCGGGTTGACCTTTTGGCTCTTGTGGCTCCCCCATTATGTGACCCCTGCCCTAGCAGGGATGTCCTTGTCTAAAATGGGGACAGACTGAGAAGGGGCTGGAGTCAGATATTCCAGGCTCAGATTCTCAAGTTCCACGTTCCCATGGGACACCAGGCGTGGGGGGCATTTCCGGAGTCATCTTGGCACCAGGACCTCCAGGCCAGTGCCCCCCTTCTGTCCCCAGGGACCCATTAGGGTGAGGGCAACACATCCCAACCGTGGGAACGCGCCCGGTTCCAGCCAGGGATTAAAATAGCCCCAGAGGTTAAATTTAGCAAATCAATATGAAGCTAGGGGGCTGGGGCAGGGGCTCTCATCACTCGGTTATGCATAGTTGTGATTGCTCAGAAACCCAGCCCAGAGAAGGTAGAGGGCACTCCAGGGGTCACACAGTGGGCTACATATGATCGCCAAAACATCTTACTCTCCTGGGCCCTGGGACTCTGGGATGAAAGGGGTCCTGCCCAGACTCCTCAGGCTGAGGTCTGAGAAGCAGATGTGGTTACTTGTGGAGGCAGACCTACATTTCCCTACACTCCCCTGAGCTTGTTTCCAGGTGTTTGCCAGGTGCTCTGCATTTCATACCCACCCCATTCACAGGACAGCAATCTGAGGCCCAGGGAGAGGCCCCTTTGCTGAGGGCTGCCCAGTGGGTCAGAGACCAGCTAGGACCTGAGCTCAGGCCCACTTACCCTGGATAGGCCTGTGACATTGCCTCAGTCACCTGTGACACAGGAGTGGCTGGGGGTCAAGTGGCGTCACAGAATTAATGGAGGGGTATCAGGGATCTCAGAGGCTTTGGGGTGGCTGACTGTACAGCATGATGGGTGAGGCATGACAGGTTTCTTTGATCCAATGCTTCCTGCATGGGAGGCACTGGGGAAGCCTTGGACCCCAACATGCTGTTTCTCTTGGGGACATGCTGCCCTCCTTGAGTTGCCCACTTTCTTTTGGGGACCACACCAGGGAGATCTGAAATCCCTGTGAGGAGAGTCCAGGGTGTCTCTCAAGTTGCCCTGGGCCCAAATCGTGGCCTGAGGGCTCCAAGCCTGAGGCCTCCAAGCCTGAGGCCTTTCCAGGACATCCTCACCTCCTGGCAGAAAGTGGGGCAGGAGTGGGTTTCTGTTATTAAAAAAAAATTTTTTTTTTAACAGAAATAGTCCATATTCACTCAGGGGAAATGTTAGTAAGTTCAGATAATCAAAAAGGAAAAATAAAAGACATAAAAGGCCACACATTGTGTGATTCCTTTTACATGAAATGTCCAGGACAGGCAAATCTAGAGACAGAAAGCAGATCAGTGGTTGCCAGGGGCTGGGGAACAGGGATGGGGAGTGGCTGCTCATGGGAATGGAGTCTCTTTTTGGGGTATGAAAAATTTCTGGAACTAGATAGAAGTGATGGTTCTACAACACTGTGAATGAACTAAATGCCACTAAATTGTGTACTTTAAAACAGTGAATTTTGTGTTATGTGAATTGCACCACAATTTTTAAAAAAAGGAAAACTCACCGGTAAATTTCCATCAGACAGTGTTTCCCATCATGAGTATTTCCTCTGTCTTTTTTCCACACTCAATGAAATTTTTAAATGTATATTTTTAATTTTGTTGTTGGGTGTGTTTTTTTAATTTTTAAATATTTTTATTGATTTTTAGAGAGAGAGGAAGGGAGAGGAAGAGAAAGAGAGAAACATCGATGTGAGAGAGAAACAGTGATCGGTTGCCTCCCACATGCAACCGGCCAGGGATTGAACCTAAGACCTAGGTATGTGCCCTGACTGGGAATTGAACCTTCCACCCTTGGTTGTATGGGACGACTCTCCAACCAACTGAACCACACGGACCAGGGCTACATGTGTGCTTTGTTTTGTTTTTGTAACCACAGCCCTTGATATGGTTCAGGGAGCTATTGTGTGTTGAATGAGTTGAAAGACGTCCGATGGGCAGGCCTGGCTCACTTTCAGAGGCTCAGGATTACTGAGTGCTGCATCGGATGTCCCTCCAGCCTGGCCTGTTGAGGGCTGTTGTGAATATTCATAATAGCTGTATGTATGTGGCATCTGCTGTGTGCTGGGCAGATGTAGTTAGCTCATTTTGTCCCCAACAACAATGAGCCATACACAATGCTGTCATCCCTACTGCACAGACAGGTGCCCAGGGAGATCAGCCTCTCTGAGGTACCATAGTTACCAGGGGGTACTTTTTTAGATGCTGGGGCAGGAGCATTTGTACTACCATCTTTCATGCTGGGTCAGCCTTCTCCTCAGGTGGAGTTGGTGCAAAGGTGTTCATTGAGCATCTACTGCATCCTGGGCTGGTTGAGAATGGGGGTCGTGGGGGTGGCCCAACCTGCCTTGATTTCCTCCATCAATTCCCCTCAGTGCCTGGCAGGGGGAGGTGGAGCACAGAAGGAAGGCTGGTTGCCTGATCCCACTTTCCACCCACTCACTATGCCCCCTCTTTTCCTTTTCCCCCAGACCAAGGTCGCTCTGCCCAGCCTGGGACGATGGGGAGGAAAAAAATACAGATCTCACGCATTCTGGACCAAAGGAATCGTCAGGTGAGTTCATTGGGTGGAACGGTGGTTGTCGGAAGGCATTCATGGCAGGGGACAGGGCCTGGCAAAGGCCTAGCTGTTTTGGGGAATTGTGGGGGAATGAGTCTTGATGCCATGTCTAGAGTTTGAGATGTAGCACTTGCTCATTTTCATGATGATTTACTGAAGTCCTGGTCATAGAGGAGATGAAGCTTTACACAAACACACCCAACCCAGAGGGCTGGATTAGAGGGAGGCACAGAACTGGGGAAGCTCAGGAAGGGAGTGTGGGCTCTTCCTAGGAGACCAAGGAAAACTTCCCAAAGGAGAGGTCATTTGGGCTGGGTTTTGAAGCATTAACGGAAGTTTGCCAGGCTGAGAAGTGAGAAGTACAGCCAGAAAGAACAGCACATGCAGAGGCACAGAATCATGAGGCGTGTTCACGAAACAGGCCCCTCCATCCCCCCATGCCACCCCGAATCTTTGCCTTCTCCTTCTCACCTGTGGGTCCTGGGTCTAGGTGACATTTACCAAAAGGAAGTTCGGGCTGATGAAGAAGGCCTATGAGCTGAGTGTGCTCTGCGACTGTGAGATTGCTCTCATCATCTTCAACAGCGCCAATCGCCTCTTCCAGTATGCCAGCACGGACATGGACCGTGTGCTCCTGAAGTACACGGAGTACAGCGAACCCCACGAGAGCCGCACCAACACTGACATCCTCGAGGTACCCTGGACCCTCCTCCCCACGAAGCCAGAACACTGCTCCCTCAGAGCTTAGGGAGTCTTGGTTTGTACAAAAGATGACTGTTGCACTCTGGCGTTGCTGCCAGTTAAAGCAGGTTTTGGGGTAATGGAGTGTCCCTCTGGGGCAGTTACCTGGATAGTAGAAATAAAAACATCAACCAACCCTGGCCAGGTGGCTCATTTGGTTGGAGCATGGTCCTGTACACCAAAAGGTTGAGGGTTCGATCCTCTGTTGGGGCACATGCCCGGGGCTGTGGGCTCGGTAGGGGGTGTGCAGAGGCAGCCGATCAATGTTTGCTCTAACATCGATGTTTCTCTCTCTAAAAAAAAATCAATTAGAAAATCTTAAAAAAAATAACCACTACACATTGAAGGCTGTACTATGTGCCCCTCACACACATCTCATTTAATCCTATCACCCATTTGGTGAGTAAAGAACAGAAAATAAAAGGCACTGTGGAGCAAGCTGACCTTGCTGAGGTCCAGGACCAGTCACTGGTCCCAGGTAGCTCAGAGAATCCTATAAAGTTGTCCTCAGGTGCTCAGTTTCTCGACATGTATTAAGCACCTACTGCATGCCAGACTCTAAAGCAGCACGTGGATGCAGAATAGAGATACCAGAGTTGTATTCAGGAGTGTTAGAACAGTGCCAGAAGGCCTGGGTGGATCTCTGGTTTCAGGGCAGGACAGGCCCTCTCTCACACACAGTTGGAATTTAACAGATGATAACTCACTGGGGGCTTTGGAATTTGGTTAGAGCAGGCTTTGCCTGCCCTCTGCCTCACCCACAGAGCTGGGTTAGGTCTCTCCCCTCACCATACAACCAGGCTCCCTGGCTAGGATGGGGAGAGGTTCATTCTGTTGTGTCCTCTCCCCACAGACACTGAAGCGGAGGGGTGTGGGCCTTGATGGGCCAGAGCTGGAGCCAGATGAGGGACCTGAGGGGCCAGGAGAGAAGCTGCGGAGGCTGGCAGGTGATGGGGGTGAGCCAGCCTTGCCCCGACCCCGGCTCTATGTAAGTCACTCCCTGCCCTGCCATGAATGTGCCACCCCCCATTGAGGCCCAAGTGGTCAAGGCTGAGACTGAAAAAGGGTCAGGAAACCTAGAGTTTGGTGGTAGGTCTCTGCCTGGGTGGGCAGGAAAAGCTTCCTGGAGGAGTGGACATTGTTGCTGGGGCTTTGAAGGATGAATAAGAGTTCAACAGGCAGATAATTCCTTCTTTCTTTCTTTTTTTTTATTCATCAAACACCTGGGAAGCCCCCTCAGAGCAACCTCATGCTGAGTAAGAAGCCTCAGCTCTGGGCCTAGCTGTCCAGGAGCAACAGAGCCAGACATAGGCATGCCCAGCCATGTGAGGTTAGGCCATAGGGAGGAGTAGTGAGGGCTTCCAAAAGGTGGAGGCTGGCCCCTGACTCATTGGGATATTCTGTCTTGGCCTTGATGCCCCCACTTTCTCATTCCTCCAACCTGTCCTGTCCTCTCTGTCTTCAGCCAGCAGCCCCCACTATGCCCAGCCCTGACATGGTATATGGGGCCCTACCCCCACCAGGCTGTGACTCCAATGGGCTTGGGGAGGCCCTGCCTGCCCAGAGCCGCCCATCCCCCTTCAGGCCAGCAGCCCCCAAAGCTGGGCCCCCAGGTAAGCATGGGGCATAGGCCTTGGGGAAGGTGGGGGTCCCAGGGGAGCTTGTGGGGGTGGGGATCTTGGCTCTAGCACTCCTTGGCTGTGTTCATCACCTCTGGACCTCAGACTTCAGTAGATCACATGTCTGCCTGCCCTCTCTCTGGGGGTCTCCTGCTCCACAGGCCTGGCCCATCCTCTGTTCTCACCAAGCCACCTTGCCAGCAAGACACCACCACCCTTGTACCTGGCAGCAGATGGGCGGAGGCCAGACCTGCCTGGAGGCCTGGCAGGGGCCCGAGGGGGACTGAGCACCTCAGTGAGTGAGGAAAAAGAATGTCAGGGCTGATGGGGGCAGCCAGGGTGGCCTGAGTGTGGGCCTCAGTTTCCCCTTCACCCTTTCTCCACACAGAGAGGCCTCTATGGTAGCCTGCAGAGTCCATGCTCTGCTGCAGCTCCAGGACCCCCACTTGGAAGCTTCCCCTTCCTCCCAGCAGGCCCCCCAGGTATGCACCCCCCACCAGCCCTACTGTGGGAGGTATCCATACACCTGCCCGCTGGTCAGTCCACACTCCCTCACCAACTGAAAACTGGCTGGTGGGGTGGGTCAGGCTTGGGCAAGGGGCTCACAGAGGTGGGAGTCTCAGCTTACTCCTCCTGTCCCCGCTCCCTCCCCCCCCAGAATATGGCCT